AACACACTTCCCATTCAAATAAAAAATTAAAAACCCATGGCACAAGAAAAAATATAATGCTATCTACTTTAAAGCAACTTAAAAAATGGCTAATAAATGTAAAATGTCAAAGGGGTAGTGTGAAGTTTGGCTTAACCTTTGTTCTTATTATTTCCCAGCTTTAAGATTCTTAAAATTTTGACATATACTTAGTTATGCCACCCTGTATGCCTTAATCCACATCACACATATAGTATAGTTGTACTACCATTCCCAAGAAGTTCAAATTTTAAAGCTTACAAAGGGGAAAAATGATAAGCTTTCACTTTATTATTTAAACCTATTGTATTATAGTTTACCAATTTATTATATATTATGTCTTGAGTTTGGACTTCTCAAAAAAATGTAATATATATTTATACCTAAAGACATTTAACATTAAATATCCTAAAACCATTAATCAATTGGAAAAGAAGGTTCATTCTTATTCATGAACCTATTTAAACCTTTATGGAACGAAAGTTGAAAGCTATAATTCTCCTAAAAGCTTTGCTCTTTTGAGATTCTACCCCTTGGGTCGAGTCTAACTATACCAAACTAGTCTGCTAAATATAAATTTTAACATGTGATATATTTCTTTTAGCTAACCAATAAAGTCAAACCCAAAACCTTTTTAATATCAAATATAAGCTCTAGAAGGTCACCTAGCCCAATACTATTTAAACCTAATGTTAAATATAAAATCCCCCTTGTTTTATACGTTTTGATATTTTTTCCATTGCTCTCACTTTTATACCCTTTTGTCCCTAAAAACTTGTAGAAATTCTTTGGGTCCTTGACTTCTAGCAAACAAGAATAATGTTGTGAAGTTGGCTGAATTTGAGTGCTTCTATTTGTATGAACGATTAAAATTGATCACCAAATAAAGTTAGTCAACAAAAGTTTAAAGAACTTTATTGAATTTTCTTGACTATCCCAATACCCTTAACCATTTTATTCGCTTGCCCTTTCTCTTAAAATCCATGTATGAGGTTAAAATCATAGAAGCTTTATGGCTTGACCTTTGCATCTCTCTTAAGACTTTAGTGTAAGAAATCAAAGATAACAATTTAATAGACAAGCCATAAAGTTTAAATATAGAAACCAGGTGAGCACTCCTTTATTTTTATATTTAAATTCTAATGAATCATATTTTAAATAATTTTCTTTAGTTGTTTACAACTTTTTGTAAGGAAGTAATACAAGTATTTAGAAGAGTAAATAAAAAATCCATATATAATTTAATACCCATGTGATATTGACAATAGTTTTTATGCTCATTTGGCATAACTTTGTTGACTATATTAAGCTTTTATAAGATTGCCTTGACAATCATGTAGAATCTCATCTAATTCTGCTATTAAATTTTTAGCATTGACATCCACATTTACAAAATCTACCTAATGAATACAAACATCAATTGGTATCCAATATATATAACAAAATATTGGTGTTATAGTAGTGCTATTGTTATATTAAACTTTGCCAAAGATATAAACAAATCCCACTTTTTTAGGTTCTCACCAATACTAGTATATAACATGTTTTATATTCATATTTTTATTTGCCCATCCATTTGTGGATGATTAACACAACACTATTAAGTTTTAGACAAACCATAGAAGAAATCCTTCTAAAATTTATTTATGAATTTTGTATCATGAGCACTAACAATATCTAACTGCTTAGTAGTAATAATACCTTTAAAAACCTTGCTACAATCGTGAATGAGTCAATTTCATAAGGGAGCTCCTTCCCTACCAATCCCATAAGAGCCAAACCTTGCACCTTTTTAACCTCAAACAATTTGATCTAACCTATATGTCTTTGAGTTTAACTAGTCATCTAGAGTGGCACATACCCACTTTTACTCTCCTTAGCTATGGCTGTCATATATTGTTCCAAAATCCCCTTTTAAAAATCCATGGGCTCATTATTCATCTTCATGAATTTATTCTTTGGGTTCTTCCAAATAATAGTGAGAATCCTCTATAAATAGAATGTCTCTAAAGCCACCTTAGAAAGATTGGTTGCCACCACTTTGTTACCCAATCTTTAGCTTATGCTAAATATGATCTTTCCATAGAATCTGTCAAGGGGCTAAAGTATGCCCACTTGCATACATATTATATCTGATGTTAATAATTGTGAATCACTCTATATTTTTTTTATGTGCAGTAATAGATCTTGTATTTAGAACTTGTATAATTGTTTAGTTAGCTATTTTATCTTCTTGTAAATCTATTAAATCAATTTTTCATGGTGCTTCTGTTGTCAAAGTCAAGATCATGGATTTCCCTTTGTTTTAGATTAAGTGTGATTAATTAGTGGGGGTTTAGCAATAATTCTAGGGTTGTGACCCTTGAGTGTTTTTCCATCATAAAGGATGGAGACTATTGTATCCAAGTGTGTGAGATAAAATACAAAAGAAGGTGTTTGCAAGAAGTAAATAGCAAATGGGTGGTGTGATGGAAAGTAACAATAGCATTGCCAAAGAGGCTGGTGTCAAAGAGGACAAACCTCTAAATGGCTGTAGTGACAATTACCACTACAATGTAAGGATGTTCAAGTTTTTAGGCAATAAGGGTTTTTCCATGCTCACTCATTTTAGTGTTTATAGAGTTTCCCTCCACATTTCTAGTGCACTACCTGGGAATGAAGAGTGAACGTGGAGAGTGGGAGAAAAGTAAGTGCTGAACATGCTAAGTTACCTTTCCAAGTCAAAGGCCATTTTGTTCTAGTGTAGAAGATGTTAGATAGTAAGGAAAGAGGAAGCACCAAAGAAAGAATCAAGTTACTCTTACCATAAAGCTAGCAAAAAGAAAAAGGAGGCACAAATCTAAAGACATTAAGTATGACAATTTATTCAAGAGGTTTCAAAGGATGAGATGTTTTGGGATAGAGTATAAATATTGGCTAAAGTGTGCTCACAACTGAGATAAAGTCAAAATCATGGATTTCCCTTCATTTTAGATTGATAGAGTTAACTTTTGAACACTTCACAAAGTTACCCCATTTGTCCATCCGTGTTTATTCTAACTTTGGATTCTTTAGTGGAAAGTATGATTAATTAGTGGGTGATTAATAATAATCCTAGGGTTGCATAAGGGATGGAAACCATTGTATCAAGTGTGTGAAACAAAATACAAAAGAAAGCTTTGGCATGAAGCAAAGAGCAAGTGGGTGGTGTGATGGAAAACAATGACGACACTGAAGACAAACCTCTAAATGGCTATAGTAACAATTAACATCAGAGTTAGTATAGGTTGGTTCTATCCTCTAAGATAACTATGATGCTGTATATTATTATTATTCTCACTCTTGTATATAAATTTTGTTTGGGGCGCATCCTCACTAAACTTTTTTAAGAACAGATTTTAGGGGTGCAATAAACTTTCTTATTTGTTTTTTAAGAAGAAAAAAGATATCCAGGGCATTTGTAATGCAGCTCCAAGCATAAGCAAATCATGCCCAATCTTTGATGGGAGTCTTTAAAAAGCTTTTATTATTAATATAAATAGTTTTGTTTTTTATCTGGCATCTAAAGCTGCTGGCTTTGACGTTCATCCTTGGGGATTTTGCTCGCTGGAAGATGGTCCTTATATCTGGAAATGTAGATCACCATAATACAACTAACAACGATATCCTATGTCGAATCGGAGAGGGGTTGGGAATTGAGACGGGAGAAACTATCGTCGCTCGAGGGCGGCTACCAGTTCTGCTAATTTTTACATTTTGGAGATAAGGTTGAGAGATGCTTGATCAGGTGCTCTAGATGGAGTGGAGCTGGAATTGATCTCTCTGCACGCTTCTTGAAACGGCAGTGCGCACAGCTCATTCAAAATTAATGTTGCAAACTAGCAATATGATCCATGTTGCTACAATTTTCCACAAATCCTCGTGACAAAGTAATATGGTGTTAATACTGAGGCCTTGCATTGGCAAGTTCCATCCATGAAAAAGAAACTTCTCGTATATTGCTTCATCACCTTCGGGACATGGCCGGAAGCCCAGGGCTTATGAGAATGATCGATATGAGATGAATTAATTCTTTTTAATACAAAGGTAAGGCTTGCTTGTATATAAATCAGGGCAGCTTTACAAATTTAGGGTTTAGGGTGATGGGTACGCAATTGCGCGTTATGAGGAGAATTATCTCAAGAATGACTGCCTCACTTGCAATTGAGCAAAGCACTTCCTCCAGTGGAACTGAACAGGTGGCATCAGATGAAAAGGGGGCGTCTTCCAGTGGAACTAAGCAAGATCAGTCACAGGGCCAATCTAGGATGATAAAGCTCCCTTACGAGATACTAGGACATTTAGCTCTTCCACGTCCAACACAAGACCCTAGGGACGAGTGGAATGTTATGTGTTGTATGGAGGGGTTTGTGATCATGTATTGCAGAAAGCTTGGAAAATCCCATTTATTCAACCTTTGCAAAAGGATTGATCATCCAATCACTTGGGTCACAAACTTTCCGAGCAATCCACAGATGGTGTATTTTAAGGATAACATCTACATTGCAGCTGATTTCAAGATACAAAAGTATAATCTGCGCTCGAACAAATGGAGTTTGCAACAAAGATTTCCTTTGGGTTGCCAATTGGAGAGACTGCTCGTGTTACAAGATAAGATCGTTGGGGCTTTTAAGCGCGAGATCAAAACCAATTCATTGGATCCTTTATCATACGAGATCAAAACATTGATGCTAGAATGGAGATTTCTGGATTTGGACTACAATGGTGTATATAAGAAAGGGTGGAGACAACCTTTTGCAAAGTATTTCATTGACGATGGTATGATGCCAGTCATGGCAACTTTGAATAAGGTTGTGTTGGTGATAATGAAATGGTGTCCGGAGAGCAACGCGAGTTGGCTTTACTTTTGGAACGAAGACAAGTTAGAATGGGAATTTTTGGATGGAAAGCTAAAAGGAGGGCCAATAAGCGAATTGGTTGTAGTTGGAGATGATCAGCTAGAAGCATACAATTCTCACGGAAGCTTGGTTTCAAGGAGTAGAGTATATTGGGATAACAATGGTCATGTAAAAAGTGTGAAATGGGCAGGTTAGTACATTTGTAATTTTTTCATATACCGTACTTAGCCCTCGGCAATTGAGTTCATTCCAAGCAACTTTGTTGGAGCTTCGCGAGATAGCCACGCAGAACGTCTGGCTCCATTTTTGCTTGCTTGAGCGTAAGCAGCCTTTGCGCAACGTGGTAATCCTTTTGCAGGGATCTCCCGGTTGATGACAGCCTATATGTTTCCAGGGCTTTTGACTCCTGCGACGGCGAGGCACTGTGAGTATCACATTTACATTAATGTGCAAGCTCCTTACCCTGCTCTCGAGAGCATCGATAACTCTCCTGGCCCCTTGAATCACCGAAGGCGGTAGGCCCACAACGTTTGACAGCAGTAACCCGTAGTGCGCGATACTCGTGCAGCCCTCTCGGAGCGTAAACTGATCCAGCCACCGGTAAGAACACGAATCAATCTTTCACAAGCTTTTTAAGATACCTCAAAGTTGAGACGGTTGTTATTGATATTGACAGCGAAGAAAGACACCTTCACGTTTGGATAGATCGTGGACAGTTCTCCAAGCTTCTGCATGTGCGTTGCAAAAATGACGTACCTGCAGACAGGAACAAGGAATGAGAACCACAATCAGTAATTCGATCTCGTTTTACGCTTACGCCTTCAGCGACAGTAAGTACTCACTGAAACTCCAGGCTAGAGCCAGTCCATCGTAAGATGAGGTTGATCGACCAAGCTCATCGATAAGAATTAAGCTCCTGGACCAAAATGGTTTTAGTGCAAATAGAGGAAAGCCTCTTCCATACCTGGGAGTCACATTCTGCACAAAGTATGCAGCCTCCCGCATTTCCCTCATGAACTAAAAAATAGACGTAAGAAACTCAAGCGGTATCAAAACTTGGAAGTCTACACACGCTACTGGAGTTCATCTCCATGTCGTCAGCTTCCCCGATTCTGGTGAACAGTCGGTCCACCACTCTAAACGAGGCGAATTGAGCGGGAACGTAGCATCCAATATGTGCTAGTATGGTTATAAGGGCGACTTGATGCAGATACGTACTTTTCCCGCTCCTACAAAGACATGAAATGAAAGTGAAAAATATCACAATGGTAAGAATCCATACATGTTAGGACCTGTGACGATAACCATATTCGATGCTTCGGATAGGAAAGTATTGTTTGCCTACATTCACAATGCTGCAGATCTTAGTGACTAACATGTACAACTGTACACTCACCACAAAATCTCCAGAAGGAAGACTCTCCAGAATAGGATGCCTCCCGGTCTCAATTGCTATGGGCCCATCCTCTGTAAACAAACAGCACGTTAACAGCCATAAAGAAAACTGCAGATCCACTTACCAGTAAATTCTGGCCGAACGTAGCTACCAGCAGGCTTCAGCGAAACCATGGAAGCAAACGCTGTGATCATATCTATCAAGGAGAGAGATTCGCTGAGCAGCATCAAAGAAGGAACATGCTCCCTTATATCTTGGGTAAGAGCTGCACAGAAAGGAACTGTTAAAAGTCCCACACAACGAGGGTGATATTAACCTTCCAGGCAGTGTTCTGTCCTCGCATAACAATCATCCGCGGCCTTTTTGTTCCTGGTATTAAGCTTCCGAGTTTTGAAGCAATCAGATTAAATAAACTCGTAGGCAGACACTCACTGAGATTAACTCAATCGTAGAGCAGTGTACATATTTCGCATGCTTGACTACCTGCATAACTCCTATAATTACGAACGCAAGGCGACATGTACCTGGATAAACGTTTTGGGAAGGCCAGCTTGCTCAAACTCAGCCATTGGAATGCTAATAGAAAAGCCTTTCGACTTATTATAAAGCAACTTTAGACTCGGAAGCTGAAAGTTTTCGCGGTATGACTTTGCGAGGCAATGAATGGCTGTAGTCACATACAACAGTGAACGAAATTGCATAATAAATCCGACCTTCGCTTGTATCACAGAAGATCTTTCGGGCAACATCCAGAAAACCGTCGATTCCTGGTTTCACTGCAAAACACTGTTGAGTTCGAGCAACGAAAGGCATCCTGGCGTTAAAAACGTCTTCAGAGATAGTTTCCTGTATTCTGCGACAAAGAATAAAATCAGACATTGAAATTGAAAGTTATACAGAACCTCTGCTTTATAAAAGAAAAGCATTGCCGCATGCAAACTGTCTGTTTGACGCGTTGGAAAAACGTACTCTCTGCATCTTGAAGAACCTAAACATCAAAGAAGAATCAGATATGAAGGCATACAAGGGACCCACCTGGAGCAGCGCAGGGAGAAGTTCCATTGCTTCTTTGAGGAGTACAACACTCGCTACCACCGACTGACTCCTTGAAGATCCTTCACCGAGCTTCTTTGGCTTGAAGCAAAAGTGAGAGATGACCCTGTCTGTGAGAAATGAACGTTAACTTAAAATCGCGACAGGAAGATGTCTTACCAAGATCTTTTGGGAATCTTTGAAGCACCTGATTCAACCCAAAGAAAAGGTTCTCCTTGCTTGTTAACTCGTCCTGCATGAAGGAAGCCGTAGAATCCAAAATTCCGAGCAGATATCCACGTTAACCATGCAATCGAGACGTGTGTTGATGGTGTCCATGTCTCTTAAAGGCTGTAGGAGGTTCGCACGAAGAAGTCTCGCGCTGAAACTAAAAATGTATTAGAAAGAATAGCCACGATGCCGCACGACTAACCCTCCAGTTGATTTTGTCTTGCTCAATATCCCAAACAGGCTTCCGCATTTTTTCAGTTTATTAATCGGTGCCAGAGCACTCGACTCGATCACTTGAAGGCTCTGCACGCTATTTAAATTTTGAAAAAGTGAGTGCGAACAGCTCATTGAAAATGACTTACTTACCTTGTAATGTCTATGCTCATGTGGTCTGCCGAACCATTGAATGTAATCTAGTAAAATATCCAAGTCGCTACAATTTTATGCCAAACGATGAAACATACCCGCAGGGAATTGTTCGTGAGCAAGACACCTTTCTCACTTTCGATCCTACAATGAAGGACGTAAAGCGGTGTTAATACTAAGAGTTCTTTACTCACCACTTAACAACAGCAGCGGCAGCACCGAGACAAAGATAGTACTGCTTGCTGTAGCCTTGAGACATACAAAGATTGGAATCTTTCAAAGCCAGGCTTTGGATCAAAAGGAGGCCCTGCATTGGCAAGTTCTATCCATGAGAAAACATAAAATAAAGGAAAGAAAGCACTAGAAAGATTCACTCGCCTTTGTATCATCAAACCACTTTCGGGACAGCTCCACCTTAGAAATTTCGGTTAGACCAAAAGCAGCGAAGAACACACAGTACACGCACCTTTCGTGCGTCGGACCGGCTGCAAAAGGCTTTGAGAGCCACGGACCCGGAAGAAAACGCCGGACTAGTCGCCGGAAGAATGAGCTCGGAGGGATTATAGAAATGGAGCATCGTCATCGTGTTCTGGAACGAGCGACTCGTCTCGATGTACTGCGAAAGATGCAGCGATGCTGTTCTCAGATCGAATGCCGCCAGTCCTACCTGAGAATCAAGCCCGAAATGTGATATTTCTCGCAGATCGATCGATCGGTTGAAAGATTGATGAAATATGGCGAGATCTCACCTCCTTGGCCCTGTTCTCGATCACTCCTACCACAAAACCGGACGATCGCGCCGCCTGCTCGTCCATGGTGCGCTCGCCTCGTCGATAAACCCTAGCAAGAGGCTACAAAAATTTGAATGGATCTTTAAAACTTCTATGTTGGCAAGAAAAGCTTGATTATAGTAAAGGAACTTCTATGTTAGCAAGAAAAGCTTGATTATAAGAAAACCTTTATGTGCCTAGTCAGTACATTTTTATAAGTAGCTAGATCTTTCCTAACACAAGAGAATGTATTATGTCAAGAACAAAAGCTCTCTTTTTTTTTCGACATTGGGTTCTCACCTCTCGCGATCGGACGCGGCTTGAACCTTCGCTGTCAAGTAAAATTGTGCAATCTGTAAACCCTCAGCTGTTCCCACCAATGTCACCTTCCTGCTCACCGAAAAAAAAAACCAAGCGAGAGATGCTAAGTTGTTGATCGAGAACATACTTTGAAAACTCTCACCTATTTTTTGTGCCTGAAACAAAATCCCCACGCTCTGAAATCTTGATAGTAACACCACTAGCCTGAAACAAGCACAAACAATGATCATAAATGAGAGTTTTGGAAGGAACAGTGTGCGTCTCTTACCTGTTGAATCTCTCCGAGAGTCTTTCCGCCGCGACCAACAATGGCTCCAATGTGTTCGTCGGGAACAGCCAGCGTAATGGAGGTCGTGACAGGGCAGGACTCGAGCACGGGAAGGAGCACCGGGTATGGCGCTCTCATAGGCAGTATTGGAGTCATCATCCCCTGGAAACAAAGACGAGTTTAGATAGAACAATCGAAACAATTTGAAGCAAATCACTCACCTTGCTTGCAGGTCCTACGTTGGACGGAATGGCAGATGCGATGTTGCGGCCTACTCTGTTCTGTGGAAGTCCTATACACCCTGAAAAGATAAAAAAGAAATAAATGTAGGACAGAGTGAGAAAGAGCAAGTTCATCTAGTTGGTACCTGTGTAAGAAAGAGGAGCTGCAGCATAATCAAGATAGCTAGAATCCCCGAGCAACTTCGTGAGAATAAGTTCCACGGCCTTGAGCTGCTGCTCAATGCTGCCTGTGATGGTAACCAGGCGGTCACTAATTCCCTGTAGTATGCCGGACAGCTTAATGCTTGCTTCCGAGTCCTCGATGAATGATCTGGAAGAACGCTTGAACGAGATTCCTCAAACAGAAAAAGCTTACTTGATGGTTCCACCCCCCTTGCCAATTATGGCTCCACAAACACTGTTTGGCACAACAAGTCGAAGTTGATTTGGCTTGCTATCAGTTTGGCTGTCGTCTTCCGTCTGAAGAAAACGAAGACGATAGCAACGATCAGTCATAGGCCTAGTTGACGAAAACGAGGAGGGCATACCTCTTTCTGGATCTTAGAAAGAATAAGGTTAAGAGCCGTGAGAACATCGTTGATAGCTCCACTGAGAACTACAACGCGGTCTGTTGTTCCCGGAAAAAAATCCTGGCTACGAGAGAGCTGGATGCGAGCTCCCGACTGTGACTGCAAATCGCTTATAGTCGCGCCTCCTTTGCCTATGACAGATCCAGCCTCCGCATTGGAGACAAGAAACCTGGCACTCGACTGGGAGCCATTGCCATCCTCTGCCACCCAGAAAGAAAAAAAAATGTGAGTTGTTTGTGCCAACCTCGAGAAAAACAGAGGGAAAGAACAAGCATCAAAGGAAAATTCCACGCCTAAAGGAAAAGAAACTTTCACTGCACGCGAAACAAGCAGGGACGCAAGAGGAAAGAGCGAAAAAGCGTGAAAGAAGGAACCAAAAGCATGGGCGAGACTTGCGAGAAAGGAGATCGAGCGAGCTAGAGCAGAGATCTGGAAACCCAATTCACTCCACCACTCTCACCCGAGGAGGACTTCATGGAGCCCCCGCGAGCGCGCTTGGGGCTTCCTCCGCGCGGCTCCGGCGACATGCCCCGCTCCATCATCATCGTGTCCTGCGAATGCTGCTGGAAATGCTGCTGCTGCTGCTGCTGCTGCTGCGAGGAGTGATGATGCTGCTCGTGGTGCTCGTGCTGGTGGTGGTGATGATGCGAAGAATCGCGCTCCCTCTCCTCGCGGCGCCGCCTCCGCCGAAAATGTTGCTCCTGCTGGAACTGCTGCTGCTGCTGCTGCTGCTGCCGATCGCCGTCCCGTCGTGGCAGATCTTGCTGCTGGTAGAGATTAGGGGGCGGCGGCGGCGGATTATGATGGAAAGAGGGGAGATTTTGGTGGAATCTGAGCTGCTCCGGCTGATCAGCATCACTCCAGGGCTCCTGTGCCTCCTCCTCCTCGTGTCCCTCTTCCTCCTCCTCCTCCTCCTCCTCCAGCTGATCTTGATCCTCCTCCGCCGCCACCGCCACAGCGATCTCCGCCTCCTCCGCCACCGCTCTCGTCGCACGGATCCTCCTCCCGCATTCGCTGCCCTGCTAGCCCTAATCCCAAGCCCTAAAACCGCACAGCACTTAAAGTGATGATTTAAACCCTTAATAATTCCAGGTGGACAAATAAAAAACATCCCATACGAAAAGCCCGGAAAAATAGAAATAATTCGTCGAATATATCCTTTCGGAATCATGCAAAAAAAAAAAAAAATTAAAGAAAAAGTCAGTTTGACTGCCACACCCACATCGCGGCCGTCCGATTGGACGGCCGCGATCGCCCCTCGTCCGGGTCAACAATAAAGCAGGGAGCATCCATATCTCCTCATCGTGCCAATTTAATAAAGGAAGGAAAAGGAAGGCATATCACCACTCACTCACATTCTCTCCCCGTTGTTGCGTTACACGGTTAAGTGTTTGCTTTACTTTTCTTTCTTCTCCCAAGTTCCGCGATGACACGCTTCACGGCACTTAAATGTTCTTGTCATCGCCCAAAACTGCCAAAGCGATCAACAGTGAGACGAGCAAACCTGGATTATAAATCCCACCCAGACCTCCTCCTCCTCCTCCGTTCTAGTTCTCCTTTTTCGCAGCGCTCTTCTTTTTTTCTCTCTTATCTGGTTCTTCCAGCCGCGAGGCGATGGCGAGCAGCAGCGCGAGCTTCTCGTCCCTGTTACAGCCACAAGTCAGTCGCAGCAGCGGCAGCAAAAGGAAGAACTTGCGAACGAGATCGGGAAGAACAGGTACTTACCACAAACACGATCTCTCTTGTGCCGAAGTAGCTGAAAAATTTAAGCTTTTGTCCACTCCCAGTCCGGATAAGCTGCGAGAAGTCCTCGGAAGAAATGCGAGATGTCAAAACTCTCGTCCCACCAAGTGGCGGCAGCTTTAGAAAGCAGCTCACCTCCATGCCGTGCTCGTCGGGATTCCGCGACTGGAGGAGCTTCCGAGCGGCGCTGCTGATGAACGAGGCGGGGCAGCAGCAGCAGCAGCAGCCTCATCAAGCTTGGGCTCACCAGATCTCGTGCCTGGAGCCGGGCTCCGTGCTCGTCGCCACCAGCGCCGTGCAAAGGCACTCTTTGTTCCAAAACTCGGTGGTTCTCATCATCCAGTCCAGCGAGAGCTCTTGCAAGGGCCTCATTCTCAACAAGCTCATGCCTTTCCCTGTGGACGACGTCCCGTTGATGGAGCCCGACGCGATTCGCTTGGCCGAGCTTACGTGTCCCGCGTTTGTGGCCGGGCCGCACTTCCCGTTTTCCTACAAGCCACAAGTCCACTTGTTAACGTCCAGCAATCACTTGCGAGGCTACAGAACGCTCACAGATGGACTTTACCTCGGCCAAAGTCACACGCTGAGATCGACCGTGAGCAGCGTCCAGCGCGGCCTTGTGGATCCGGAGGACGTCCGGATCCTCGTCAACGAGGTGGAGTGGGAGCGACAGCAGCTGGAGGTGGAGATCCGGGCCTCCAACTGGTGGAAGATCTTGTCTTGCAGCAGCGACACGCTGCTTCAAGTTCCAGCGTCTCAGCTGTGGAGAAGTTTGACTAGGCACCTCGAGTAATAGCAGAGATTCGATCGTATCCCGTGTTGTACAAAGCTGGCCTGCACAATGGAAGAGCACAGTGTTCAGTCTCGCACAAAAAGGAGAGCAACGCGATAAGGTACACGTTGCAGTGGAGGCATTGTAGCTTTAGCGAGGACCGAAAGAACAGGCCAGGCACACAAAAGCAAGCAAGGAAAAAGCGCAGCCAGAGTGTTAGAAAACGAGCAACGAGTTTTTATTGTAGACTTCCAGCTTACACACTCACGAAATACTTACGACACCGTCAATCCGCTTCTGGGACATCGAGCAGAGTCTCGGTGGCGTTTTCCTTTGCGAGAGTTTCCTGGCAGAGCGACAATTGGTTTCGCAAACTTCTTACGAGCTGAGTGAGTGTGTGGATTTGTTTCTCCTGTAGGAATATGATCTGTGAAGAAAGCAAAGTTTGTCCGGGTTTCTTTCTACCAGGAAAGTGTAAAGAATACCTGTTCGTTAACTTGGTGGCTGGATGCGTGTAGCGCTCTAGGGGGTGGTTCTGGCTCGGGCTCAATCTTTACTTGTTGGAGCCACTCCGTTTGAGAGGAGAAAATCAAAAACAGGAGCACTAGAGCAAGCACCATAGGCCTGGACATCCTTATCGTGCCTACATGAACAAAATAGGAAAGAAATCGATCAACGAAAATGCGAGAAACCACAAACAAGCATCTCAACACAAACGAAAAAATTTGATAAAGGATCACAAGAAAAATCGGTCCCGATAGGGTTTGAAATGTGATCGCGACGAGTAGCGCCTAGACGATTGAATCAGTGGCAGGGAAAACATACCTCATGAAACTCAAGATCAAGGCGCCGCGATCTCCTCGTCTCCTCCAGCATCGCCGCAGAGTGAAGACCGCCTAGATGAAGTTCCAGGTTCGAACCTCAACACTATGTAAGATGATTATATTTAATGTTTTATATGATAATATAATATTTATGACTTTAAATCTATAATATAATATTTTATGCAAAAGGTTTTGAAAGTAAATCAGTAATAATGTTTTAAAATTAGAAATAAAAGAATGAAGTTAAATATCTTATTTCAAATGATAAAACCATAAAACTTTAAGAAATTATTAATAAATTAAATCAAAATATATAATGTTGTGAGGTCTGAGTGTACGGCTACAATATAATATTAGTGTAGTGGGATTTTGGTTGGTTTCAATCTAAATATATAAACTAGGGTTTCTAAGTTAATTGATATGCATATTTCTATATTCCATGCACTCATATTGGTGGAGGTGAGGGGCAACTTTGATTATCCTTAAGGAGTGTATGGTGAAACATTAATAGAATTTTACACCCTTATAATATATGCATACCAAAGAAATGGCAAATAACTACTCCAATTTGAATGTTAAAAGTTCACATACTTTGCAATCATCTCTTTGAAAGTCTAAATGAGTTGTTCCACCAAATCATTTAACTATGAATGATAATCACTCATGAAAGTGTGGTGTATCCTCAATTGAGATGTCAAAACATAAAATATCTCAACCATAAATGTAGAACTATTATTCAAAAGAATCTACTCCAAATAGAAATATTGGAACACCACTTAATTGAGGAAGAAGTATTTATCAGAAGTTGTAGATGCCTTAGCAAGAGCACCGACTTCCACTTAATGAGTTAAGTAATTAAAAACAATAATGACATATTTATTGCCAACAGTCAATTGTGGAAAATGCCCTATTAAATCAAACAACACCGATTTAAATGGATGCGAAATTATAATTGACTCCAACCGTCCTTTCATAGCACAAGGGGGAGTATTAAGAGTTTGGCACCACATGTAATTACGCATATACTGGATAACATCACATCATATCTCCCATCAATAGAAAGGCTTGTGCAATTTTTTAGTTATATAATAATATCCTATATGCCTACATAAAATACGAGAATCATGGTAGACATGAAAAAAGCGTGCAATAAAAATCAAAGGCATCACCAGCTATAAATGATCATTAGAATCCGTCCCCACAAAATAAAGAAGACTATTCTTAAGGTGATATTAAGAATGTAATTGTCAAAATGGTAAGTTATTAGCAAGTGATGTAGAATTCTCAAACCTATCATAAAACTTTCAAATTCATAGCTCAATATTTTGAGTCTCACAAACCTCATCAAGAGAAAGTATATCTTACTTTGCACTTTGTGGACACTAAACATCAAGTATAACAATTGATGATGGCATGGAATCCTTGTCTAAAAAATCTAAAGATGTTGTAAGAACAAGTTCGTCAGAAACATGAAAAGAGAGTGAAGAAAGAAGAGAAGTTCGAGAAAGGGCATTAATATCAGCCATAGAACTCCTCAACTGATAAACAACATCAAAATTATGTATTTAAAGCTTCAAAACCCACTGAGCAGTACGATAAATCAAGTTCTTCTACTTCAATAATAAAGTAACTGTAACATGATCACCTTTTATATGACCTAAGATAAGTTATGTCTTTAGACCCAAACATGCACTTTGACTGCTTCAAATTTAAAATAATTTCCCATAGCTGATCTAACACCTTTCAACCATCACGGACATGTTCTTGCCACGTCCTTTTTGAGTGGATCAAGTTATCATTGATGAAGTCAGCAGTCACTTCCAACATGTCACAAAGAACCTTGTCCGTCAAAAGTTGTTAGAGCATTGTTTAAACCAAACGGCATCACCAAGAACTCATACAAACTAGATAATATATAAAAAGTAGTCTTAAGAATATATTTTTTGGCCATTGGCATTTGCCATTACCCAGAAGTAAGATTTAACTTTGTGAACCAATGACTTCTCCTTAGACAATCCAAGAGATTTACAATGTGAGGAAGAGGGTACACATCCGGGATCATCACTTTATTTAATGAATGATACTTGATGCAGAAATAAATACTCCTATCAAGTTTTATCACAAGATAAGGTTCATATCCCCAAAGACTCCATAACTTTCGAATAACACCCTTTTCTAACATTTTTTTGACATTTGTACGTAAAATCTTAATTTCTTTTGATGACCGAAGATGAATAGAAACCTTGATTGAACAAGTATTCCCAATTGGAATAGGATAACGTGTTGTAATCTTAGCCCTAAATGACAAGTCAAATTCAAAGAAACTGATATACTCCTTTATGAGCCGGTCAACCATTGCAATATAAAGATTGTCGGAAGGATTAGAAAAGAGAATAGAGGAATAAGATGGAAATATAAAAGGAAGTAATAGAGAGATAAAAGTGATGGAAGCAGAACTAAAAACAAAGAGACAGAAAGGAATAAAAGTGAGAGGAATGGAAGAAATATAAAAAAGTATGAGACAAGGGGGAAAAACATCAAAATCATATTTGGCATGATTGTGTCACAACCAATCCATACTAATGATGAGGTCAAAAGTTTGACTTAGCACCACTAGCAATGACTGCAACTCAAGTTTGAGATTGCCCAAATGCACAACTAGGTCCACCTCATTCTGTACACATACATGTGTGTGGCTGTTGCCATATAGAATGAAAACTAACTTTGCTACATGATGCAAATGTAGATAGCAATGTGTGGCAACAAGCCAAACAATAAATTATAAACTCAAGTCTATATTAACCAACATAGAGAGAATAAAAAGAGACCTCTTATTTTAAAAACAAGTTTGGAAAGAAAACACTAAATGAACTAGTGTTAAGTTAACCCCTTGATGATACTCCGGAAAGAAAGATGGAGAAGTTATTGATTTATTCACATATAGACTCTCCATTACTTGTGCAACTTCTTGTTTCCTAGAAACATATTAGTGTCCAGACCTTCTACTGCAGTAGCACCAACAAGACATTGTTAATGCCAAGATCTCCACCCAGGAAATGGAGGTCGCTAAAATAGAAAATGCTGATAACATTGATAAGTGTGACCAACTTTATCACACACTTAGTAGTGGACATCATAACTACAACCACGTCTTTGCCCTTGCCTTTGAACTTGGGTAGCAGTAGCATCAACCTCCATTAAAATAAAACCATCTCCCACAAAAAGTGGAGTTAAAGGATATGTAACAAGAAGTGGATGAAGTGATGTCTCATAATATTGTGCTAAGTGAAGAGCATTGTCACTGGCTAGAGCAAGTGCATGCAAAAATCCTACAAAATCTTGATGAAGTGCTGGCCACAACATTCCCAACTTGATTCGCTTTGACATATTTGGCTCTACATGAAGTAAAAAGCTTAAAAAAACAAATGCCAAATTGCATCACAGACTCAAATGGCTCTTGAAAAAGATGATATAATTATTGGAAGGCATCATCACAATCATCAATATATCCAAATGCAAATTTAAAGACATCTGAGAGAATGCTTTAATCCTTACGAGTGGCTATGCTCAAACCATTGTACCATTGCAATGTTGTCCCTTAGAAACATTAAGCATCATCCCAAGAATAATATATGGCAATCACTGTGAAGTGATTAAACCAATAGTCATAAAAAAACTGCACCAAATGCTACTCCAAAGTCAAAGGAAGAAGCTACTACTTTACCATGAAGATAAATGAAAAAGAAAAAGCAAAAGAGAAAAAGTTGAGAAAAGTTATAAGAAAAGGGAGATGCTCGTGCTCTATCCGCCAATCCAATCGCGCTCGCGAGCTTGGAGTGGCGAAGGCGAGACAAGACGCCGATGCCGCTCATTCCCTTCTAAACAATGCAAAAAATATATCTAAACCAAAATCTGTATAAACTCTTATATGGTCATGATCCAATACTATCATGATTGGATCATGATAGTATTTACCATACTAAAATTTGACTTGGGTTTAGAGTTTCAGCTAAACCCTTAACCTAAAGATTAAAGGTTTACCTTAACCAGTGTACCTTCATGATTGCCATGAATTGTTAATGCTAGGTTATGGAATCAATATTTGACAAACATTCTTCCTCTTGTCCAAGTAGAGTTTACCTAACACTAAGCTGTATATAATGAGACAACAACGACACTACAACTCCTATCATCATCCATTTATGGCGTATAAAGTGGATGACTTGTTATTAGTTTGTTTTCCCAATCTTATGGTACATGGTTTATCTAAGGGATGTAAATTCTTGAGTTTGGATTTCCTAAGATGTCACCCAACTCAGCACTATTCAAAACTAAAGACAGTTAACCTCAATTATCCCAAGATCCTTAACCGATTGGAAAGGAGATGCACTCTTATTGATGGGCCCTTTCCCTCTATATTTAAACGTCTCTCAAGTTTTTCTCTATAATTGCTTACAATCCACCATGCTTCTCT